TGTAATATCTATGCTACAATCCATATAAGTTTTATTAAAATATATTCATTCTTTGTATTTAAATAAAATCTTGTAACCTTACTTTCTGTCATACAACAGTCATGGTTTAAGTCATCCTCGCTTCTGGGGAGAGTTGAGACTTGATTTGCTCTCGGACCCATTTATTTGGGTTTTTTTGCAGTCCATGGTATCTCTTCTCAAGCGCCATCTTTCAGATGAGTTGCTTTTCTGCCTATCTAGTTTCTTCATTGTCCAGAAATGGGAAATACAATGGCACGGACAATTCTAACTTTAGAATATATCTTTACATTTCAGGATCTTGTCTGGTTTCCTTGTAGCTGTACTTCCAAGCTCTAGCCTTCATCTGATTACAAAGTCACAAATAAATGGCCAGAATACATTTGTCTTAAACCCAAAGGGAAGATTTTTTTTTCAATTTATTTTCATGAACTTTCTGAACATACTGTGGGCTTGGGCCTATTCTTGTGCTCTTTCAGATGGCAAGCTATTAGGTACAGAGGACAAATATTTCTCTGCTCTCCAGGCATTATGATGATACCTTCAACAAGTGAAGGATGTAGACACTTGATGATACCTTCAACAAGTGAAGGATGTAGACACTTACCTCAAGAATCTGTCTAGGGATTTTTAATAAATCCTGTGGCAGAAATCCTCTCTGGAGACCAGCAAACAACATAGAGTGAAACTTCTTGTTGAACGAAAAGAAACCGTTCCTCCCTCTTCTTTATCTGGCTCCCAGAGTGCTCCCTTTAAGGCAGGCATGTTTCAACTGGCAGGGCTAAGTTAGCTAACTGGCAAAGTTCAGCTCCCAGACAGGCTGGTTTCACCTGGGTTTTACCTACCTGGAAGCATTCCATTTAATTCATACCTTAGAGGTGACTCCTTGCTTTTTAATGTGCATTCAACCTTCCCTGTTAATTGGCGTAAACACTGTGTCATTGACTAAGCAGTCCTGCAAATGTGACTGACGGTTGCCTGGGCTCCTCTTCCTTTTTTCTTGATGGAGGATTTGAGGGAGCAGCTGTTCCTTCACAGTTGTAAAAGGAAATTAATGCCAGTGTTGGGTGAGAAGTGGAAGAAACAGCTGCTAATCCATTCTCTCCATTGTTGTGCCAAGGTTGACTCAGCTCAGCTGTTGAGAGTGCTGGTCCTTGAAGCCCACAAACTAAAACGAACATTGTGTTCCAAGGATAACTTATAGTTTCTGCATTCCCCAGACAGAAAACAAAAGAGCTCTTAAAAGAGTCCAGGTTGCTCTTGCTTGCCTCCTGAGGTTTTCTGTTCAAAGCACTGTTACAAGACTTCACTGTTCTCCCTTCTTCCCATCCTCATTCAAGATGCACCTGTTTAGCCTCGTGATAAGTATAAGATGGAGACATTCACTTGGCTTTTTGTTTTTAAATCAAAATCATGTTTTACTTACAATCTGCAAATACTAGGAACTCAGGTGGATTGTTACATTGGAAATTCTGGAAACATGCCTTAGGGCCCTTCCACACAACTGTATAACCCAGAATATCAAGGCAGGAAGTTCCACAATATCTGCTTTGACCTGGAATATATGGCAGTGTGACTCAGATAATCCAGTTCAAGCAGATATTGTGAGATATCCTGCCTTGATATTCTGGGTTATATAGTTGTGTGGAAGGGCCCTGGGTCTGTGTGAAGAAAATTGCATTCAACCGATCATTCAACAAAGTTCAATTTCCTTTTATACTGATCAAATGTCAAACAACACAGGTTTGTCACAGGCAGGTATGTGGAATAAATAAGTGGCAGTGGAAACTTCATTTTCTCAAGCAAAGAATCTGCCCATTTATTTAAGGGCAAGTTGGAGTTGCTTTATTTTTCTCCTCAAATCTGAAAGTTTGGGATTTTTCAATGTACTTAAGAATTCTGCTGGCTGACATGATGGGGAGGGCACCACATTGTGGTTGTGTTGTTCTATGGCACATCTGGAATGGGCAAAACTAAGTGGAATTTGACTGCAAATAGCATTTCATAGAATCATAGAATCATTGAGTTGGAAGAGACTTCAAACCCCATCCAATCCAACCCCCCTGCCAAGAAGCAGGAAAATCACATTCAAAGCACCTCCGACAGATGGCACACTCTCAGGGCAGAGAGTTCCACTGCTGAACTGCTCTCACAGTTAGGAAGTTCTTCCTAATGTTCAGGTGGAGTCTCCTTTCCTGTAGTTTGAAGCCATTGTTCTGCGTCCTACTCTCCAGGGCAGCAGAAAGCAAGCTTGCTCCCTCCTCCCTGAGACTTCCCTCACATATTTATATGTGGCTATCATATCTCCTCTCGGTCTTTTCTTCTGCAGGCTAATTATGCCCAGCTCTTGGTAAACTAAAACAAACCCAATTAAAGAATTTTTTCTCTCTGTGTATGATCTGTTGAAACCCTGTCCAATATAGATTTTTAAATAATTCTCCAGATGGAAATTTGTAGACCTTGCTTTTTCTGATAAAGTTGACTGCACTCTATAAAACCATATATCAGTTAAAACATATGTATCGTTAAATTGCCAGAAGACTCTCCTTTGTATCTGCTTGGTTTAGTTTGTCTTCAGTGCTGTGCTGTTTCCTGTACTAGATGTGTGCTTTTTCTGAGAATATGCTATCTTTGTTGGGAGTGTCAATTTAGCATAGCCCCATTGACTCACATACAGGTCAAGCATCCAGATTGGCTAAAACAGCAACACCTACACTTTCTGATACTTCAGTGTGACTAACATATGATTAATGCACAAAGTGCTTTAAAATATTTTATAAACTTACCTTCCGGTGATGTATATAAGGTACATCTGTAACATAAATGAATTTCTTGTTTAGACTTGGAGACGGAACCCAAGATATCTCATTATTTATGTATATACAAATACAAGTACAGTTTTACAATTTTTTAAAAAAATTCTTTGAAATCCAAAATCTTTCTGGTCCCAAGCATTTCAAATAAGGGATACTCAACCTGTAATGGTTGACTGACCACATTTTCCATTGATTCAGAAGTGTCCTTCATTAGGGACCAATTGATTTTAGCATTCTAGGTGGGACTAACAGTTCAGTGTATCCTGCCATTCAAATACATGCCATTCTTCAGGAGTAATTTGACTTATTGACAGTCCTATACTTGAGCTGAGAAAGGGGGGGATTTTTTGGATGGGTGTGGGGGGGAGGGGCACTTTCTTGGATCCATTAGACAGTGTGGCCATTGCATTCAGGGTATCTTACACTATAAAGCTGAGCTTTCTAAACATTTCATGTTGGTGACACACATTTTTGACATGAATCATTTTGCAATGCTGTAATTGAGCTTTTCTAGCAAACTGGAGGTTAAACCAACCCCTTAGAATATATACAAGCACATACAAGAGATTAAAGTACATATATACATTATACTAACGAAATGTATAGAGACACAACAGATCTCATGAAAAGCTTTCATTTGTATTTTTCAAAAGTACGGTATGTGACTTATTCCTTGTTTCTTCATGTGAACTCAGAGATGACACAGAGTTTGGAAAGCTCCTCTATAAAGTAATGTTTTCCCAGCTCTGTTGTACTCTTCAGAACTTATTTCAAAATGACACTCAATACAGAAAAGCCTCTCTGATTTTTATTTGAGGTTTCTCAAGTGCTGTGGAAGAAGAATAGCAGAATGTATGTTTTTCAAAAATTGAGACACTGACATTTCTTGTTAAAGAGTTTTTGGCAGCTGGACTGATAGTACTTTAGACCAGTGGTGTCCAACCTTTGGTCCCCCAGTTGTTTTGGACTTCAACTCCCAGAAATCCCAGCGAGCTTACCAGCTGTTAGAAATTGTGGGAGCTGAAGTCCAAAACACCTGGAGAACCAAGGGTTGGAAATCACTGCTTTGGACCATACAGGGTACAAGTAGATGCAAAAGTTTTTCAGCACTATTCAGAGAGCCAGCAGCTTCTGTTTATTTGTAAGTCTGGTTCCTGAGAGAAAGACTCCCAAAAAGCTTCTGATCAAGATAGAACATACTATCTTTCCTCCTAAAGCGATGTGTTCATGTGTTGGTCCTGAGAACATATTTGCTTGCATTTCTGAAATGATGCAGTCCAGATAACAGAATGGAAATGGTCTGGGGAATTCTGGGAGCTTGGAGCAAAACCTTCAATGTTTCTAAGCCCTGGTGAGACTATAGGCTCTTCCAGACAAGCCCTATATCCCAAGATCTGACCCCAGGTTTTCTGTTTATCCCAGATTATCTGGCAGTGCAGACTCATATACTCTGGTTTAAAGCAGAAAACCAGGGATTAGATCCTGGGATATAGGGCCTATCTGGAAAGGCCCTAGGTGTAACTGGCTATGTAGATTGTGTTCAAGGCATCTATAGGTTATGCCTCCACAGCAGTAAGTTCTTACATCTGTCTGTGTTCACAGAGGAGATGCAAGATACTGTGACTTTCTTGACAGTGTGTGATTTATTGCTTGCTGCAAGGCACAAAGTGAAAAGGAGAGATCAGGGAGTATTGTCAAGCATTTGAAGACTGATCTACTCAGGCCCAAGCTGTAGCGGCTGTCTGGGGGAAAGATTGTATTCAATTTCACATTTTCCAAAGGGGTTTAAACATTTGTTTGTAAAATAGTTTTCAAAGTAGCAGTATTCAGCTGTGGAGTAAAAATTACTGAAAACTCCTCTAGTTCTATCAGACTTCATCGAAGAGTCCTTCCAGGCAGGCCTTATATCCCAGGATATGATCTCAGGTTTATAGGAGTCTGCATTGCCAGATAATCTGGAATAAACAGAAAATCTGGGATCAAATCCTGGGATATAGGGCCTGTCAGGAAGGGCTCAGAGAGAGTAGTTTATCTTGATTTACTTAATCCTAACCAAGGATATGTGTATATTATGAGAAATACATTACTTTTGTTTGCTTTGCTCTACACCATAGTGCTTGCTTTATCTTGCGTAGCCAATGCTTTGTTTCTTTGTGTTTCCCCCAGACGGTTGAACATGGCTTTCCACATCAGCCTAGCGCCCTGGGCTACAGCTCTTTCCTTCATCTTATGGCTATTGGAACTCGGTCGGGAGCCATCAAATTGTATCCTTTTATTTGGTTCGGGAACTGCGTAATGCGTTTCAGCAATGACAGGTAGGTCAAATCGGTAGTGATGTGCATAGCATCTATGGAGCAGAGGGCTAGGCAACTGTGATAATGCATTCATGCATTAAAATGCACTCATACATTATCTAGTGGCTGTAAACATCCAGCTAGTAATGGGCTAATTTTTCACATAAGGTGGCAGAGAGCTATGTAAGATCAGGCCCCTGCCGATCAGGATTCATATGGATTTAAGGGTGCTAAAATATTTTGAGCCTTTGGAAATCAGGGGTAGAAGAGTTTTACTACATTTGTTCTTGGTATGTGTGTCTTTGGGATGCCGACCATCAGTATGAGAAGACTGTCAGAGGCTGATCTCCAAAGGGATAGACACCCCCCTCTCTTAGCCATGGGAAAATCAGAAAACAGAAGGTCTAATTCCCCGTAAGTTGCAAGAAACCATTTTTAGTTAGTGAGTATCTAGATTTTTTGTTGTGTTTCCCTAGTGAGTTGTTGGTTTCAAAGCATCTTTGGAATGTAATCTGTTTCTTCCAACTTTCTAAACTATGCCTTAAGAAAGCTGATCAAAGATACGATACCCAGAAATGTAATGCAACTCTTCTTGCATAGCATAAAACTTGCTTAAACTCTGTTAAATCTTGGAGTGATTTTGGCTACTTTGCACACCCAGGTTCCTTCCTTTTCCAGGGGGAGGGAAGGGGAAAATTGAGAAGAAGGCACTAGGGAGTACATAGGTAAGAGCAGGGGTCACCTGTTGGCTAGTCCTTTCTTCTTTGCCCAAGGGCATAGGACAGGAAAAACTGTGACACTGATATTTTTTATTATTACTACTACTACTACTACTACTACTACTATTGCTATGTTTATTATGTTTCTTTCTCTACAAAAGAGACTTAAAGTGGCTCACCGTAAAACCAATGCAATACATTTTAAAACCTAAAAATTTTCAAACATTTAAAATAGAATGAAATTTAATGGTATTAAAAATAAACCATATAAAACCTTAAAATCCTTAATGTGCCCATGGCAAAAAGTTATGGGACTCCTGTTGTCTTTCACCTTTGGCACATGAGAGTTACATCTGGGTAGGGATACAAGTTGCTCACCCTGGTAAAGTTACATCAGTAATGCTAACAATAATAAAAGTCCTATCCGGGCATTCTGGCCTCACTTGAGCACACAAGCTTCTAAATTACCTGAGAAGTTTACCTAACTGAGGAGCATGATTCGAATCTTCTGAGGACAAATGCCCAAAACAGGGTTAATTAGACTCAATATTACAGATTGAGGTATTAGGGAAGAGAGATAGAAAGCTTTCAGATGGCAGGGAGACAAGAGTAGAACAGAAAAACATTGGCCGGCTGCTTGCTATCTGTTAAGCAGCCTAGTTGATGTGTTGTGGAGCCAAAATTTGAACCTGAGGAAATCTGATCAGTTGACATTATGTGGAAGCTCTGTTGTATTGTGTGAAGAGAAATGTACTGAAACTGTTATAGAAGTGACTCAAGCTAATCTAGTCTAGTAGAAAGAGGTACTTGCAGATAAAAGGCTTTATCTTCTGCATGCCAAGTCTGTTTTAAATATCCTGGCACAGAGGAAAGATTCCTTTTTAGCACAACCCACTGTATGTCATCTGAAATTTGAGTCATAAATAAATATTTGGCTATTCTTTGTTGATAACCCTAAAATACTGGACACACACACACACACACTGAGTACTTTGAAGGCTCCTCTCTTTAATCTAGTCTCCAAAGTTGCCTTCTCTCTTTCATCTAGACCCCAAAATAGCATGCAGCTCAGACCCGTAAAGAGCCCAAAGCAGCCACAGCTCCATCATGTCTATACCTGGAAGCAGCTGAAAGGGCCACCATTGCCATTCCAAGTGCCCTGGTCTCAGAGGGAGAGGATGAGACTTCATCTGCTGGACTGCCGTTCCCTTTTCTTTTTGTGTCATACCTTAATTCGTTTGTAAACCTGAGGGTGAGGAACTATTGAATTAACAATTCTGAGTGCTTTCATGACTGAAGAATGGGATATAAATAACACTGGTTAACACACATTTTGATGCCTTAAATGTTAGACCAGTGTCTATGTGACCTGCTGATTCCAAAAATGGCAGCAGTTTCCCATATCAGCTTTAGTTTTTGAGATACAGAACATATGTCATATACCGGGTTGCTGTGAGTATTCTGGGCTCTATGGCCCTAATGCAGAAGCAGTCTCTCCTGATGTTTTGCCCACATCTATAGCAGACATCTGCCATAGATGTGGGCAAAATGGTCAAGAGAGAGTGCTTCTGGAACATGGCCATAAAGCCCAGAAAACTCATAGAAAATCCAGTGATTCTGGCCATGAAAGCCTTCGACAACACATATGTCATATACCAGTTGCCATCTGTTCACCCATTGAAAATGATGATAACTGTATCTAAAAAAACTACAGCTAATGGGGTGTGACCAATGCAATTTTTTGAGTCACCATCTCAAATAGGTATAAAAATCAAGGCACCGAGAATTGTTGTTGGGCTGTGTAATCATTGTTAAATCTTACAGAATACAGCTCATATTCCCTGGTAATAAGCCAAAAAAGCATAGACGTAGTGCCCAGGTTGGGTGAACAGGGACTCTTATTCCATCTCTGGAAAATAGACCCTGAGTCCATTGCATGGCAACTTCCAGCAAAGTTTTCCTTCAAGAAGGCTCTTGCAGACGAAGTGTGAGGCATCTATTCCCTGCGTTGTGGATCAAACGGGAATTACTGCTTTGAGAAGTCACTCTGAGGATGCACAGCCTTCCACCATCTCGTCTTGGTCTACTTTGTGCTGCACAAACACATGGAAGTGGGGAAAGCATGCTCTCCAAGTATTTAAATGAAGAGCAGGTAGATGTGTGGGTAGTAAAACCGTCTGCTGCCCCATTTCACAAAAGGTTTTCAGACAACCTGCTCATCTCAATTTTCTGTAGTGACATCAGCCTAATTCTAGGGCAATTTGCTGTTAGCATACCCCACCTACCCCGCTACCCCAAATCTCCCAGTGTTCTCTTAAATACTATTGACCTCAACTAGTCATTCAGCTATGGTGCTCCAGGGGTGGAGTTCATGGGCTTACATGAAGAAACCAACACTGTTATGCAAATACATTTCATTCCTGGCCAGGTGAGTCGAATTTGTGTAATTCATTCTATATTTTACATACAGATAGCTAAGATTTTATTGGCTGATGACATGGACTTTGTCACTAGTCTAAATGTAAAACACAATAAATATACTGATATTGGGGAATAGGTAAGAACATCTGTTTTATGTCTTGCTTTTAACCTTGGTCTGATTTGTATCTCTGAGTACCCATCTGTGTTCTTTATCTAAGAGAGCCCCTGTTAATTCTACCCAAAACCTTTGTCTCAGGTATATTCAATATTAGGAGAATCCCTGGTTGGTTTTGGCCCAGCTCCACTGTTGCCTCTTGCTCTTTTAGATAGGGAGATGTGTCCAGTTTCATGAGCTTCCTCAGATCCTTTGGTAGCCAGATTGATGCAGATCCTGCATTCTAGAGCCCTTTTACTGTTCCCTCTTAGTACTATTTCTATTAGAGCTAACAACGTAAGTACAAATCTAGATGGCTGTCTTGTCCTTCCAACTTGAGAAAAAAAGGTGAAGTGATGGAATATCATAGCTGTAACCTGGAAACAGCCATTCATGAATCTGACAAGGTATGAAGGCGCTTTCAAGGCTAATGGATCATATAGTTTTGAAGGGTGGAGTCTGAATTTATGCAGCAATTGATATGCTCTTCTGAAAGCTCTTTTGCAGCCTTTCAGATATGTAATCTGCATATCTTCCAAGAATGCTGCTCTGTCACCATTTGCTTATTTTCTTGCTCCTTTTTCATATAGCTGGTGGCCACATGACTTCTTCCTATTCTAAAGGAAACTAGAAGTTTGGTTAGTGTCCCATATAAGTAGCATCTATCCTGTGTGGATAATCTCAGTGAAGAGTGAAAACCTATACAGGTAGTTGAATGGCAAATGCAGTGTCAAGTCCACAGATCTGGCATATACAGTATACAGCAGTAGCTGCTCAGTGTCTTCCTCTGTATATTTATCTTCAAGTTGCCTGCTGATTTATAGCAAATTCATACATTTCAGAAGGTTTTCTTACAGAAGGAGTCTTCAGGGGTGATCTTCCTTGGTCCTTCCTCTGAAATATAGCTGTCATCATTGAGTATTCATGGTTGGGCTTCTATTGAAGCACTAACCAAGATTCACTTTACTTAGGCCTCACCTACAGTGCAATATAAAATCTAGATTATCTGCTTTGAAATGGATTATAGGGCAGTGTAGACTAATATAACCGAGTTCAAAGCAGATAATCTGAATTGTCTATTGCATTGTAGATGGGGCCTTAGCCTGCATACGTGCTGCTCAACAAACATACATATTATTTTCTCTGTACAAGTGACTCTGTTTACAAAAAGAGACCTTCTGTAGTTTGACATAAAACATGAGTTGAAGTTGCCCTTTGCCTAGAGCTGAGCATGTTGTCTCTTCCAGAAATTGATTCCACACATTGTTGAATATCAAATCCCAGTATAATTATCCAATGGACCTACATGAAAGGGTTTGCCAGTGGCTTTTTTCAGGAAGTAAAAAAAGAAGCAAAACTGTGGCATGATTTAGCAGGAAAGGCTTTATCTCTAAAATGTAAGGAAGGAAAAAGTTTGTGGATCAGGCAAGAAGAAAATGTTTGAAGTAGGGAGTGACAACAAAGTGTTGAAATACCCATGGGAAAAATTGCCTGTTCTTCTGGGTGTGGTTCAGCAGGTTGATTTTGACTACCTTAATATTGGTCAGGGTTGGGCTTGTCACAAATATTCTGGGGCACCACTCCTTTTAGAATGAAGTCAGATGTAAAAAATGCAAGGGAAGAGGAGAGTATCTAAATACACCACGTAATTCCAAACAGGGTGGAGAAATCTCCTTTGCTGACATGATGACAAATTAAGCCAAGTTGAACTCACAGGTATAAAATCAGTAATTCAGAAAGGAATAGGTATATGTTTGGATCACAGTCAGTTAAATTTAACAGAAAATGGAGTGAGACCTTTTTTAACTGTTTAGTGATTATATTAAGCAGGACACTGCGAAGAAGCCCAAAATGAGCATGCCTTTGCTTAGTTCACTCACTTGTGTGACATGAAATAAAAAGAAAATCCAACTCAGCTCAGTTGAATTGATAATTGTATGATATGTGACAGTCGTGGAGGTTAGAAATGTATGTCATTGCAGTTTAGAAAGGGTTTAGGAGACAGAAACATATGTATTAGAACAGACATCCTCAAACTGTGGCCTTCCAGCTGTTTGGGCCTTCAACTCCCAGAATTCCTGACAATTGAACAAGCTCGTTAGGGCTTCTGGGAGTTGGAGGCCCAAACAGCTGGAGGGCCATAGTTTGAGAATGCCTATATTAGAACATCAGCATCTTAATTAGATATTGCGGTAGCTTGAGAGTATCCTACAGCTGACTTGATACATACTATATAAGTTAATTGGTTTAGTCAAAGTTAAAAATTTCCCTTTAAAAGTAAAAAAAAAACCCACTGTAAGTACATATATATTCAGACGGGTGTGAAAAAAGACAGATTTTAAGATCTGTTATTTGTCAGAACTCAGACCAGGCTTTGGAAAGCTTTTTTCATGTTTTGATATTTTGATTCATCTTTGGTATACATTGCTTCAAACACTTTGATTAAGGGCCTTGTAGCAATTTCTTCAATAAATACCCTTTCTCCTGGATGTTTTATATTGTTGTTATTGTTGGCGTTCCTTCCTAGTTGACAAATGATGACCCCATCATAACCATTTTTCAACATATATTTAGAAGAGATTTGGTATTATTTATTTATTTATTTGAGGCATTTCTATCTCACCTTTCTCTACCCCAGAGGGGACTCAAGGCAGCTTACATGTAGGCAACCATATGAAGTCATAGAATACGTGCAATTACAAATATATAAAGAGTTATAAAATACATTAAAACAGTGTAAAATATATAAAACAATACATTAAGAGTTAATCACATGATCCATTAAACGCAGTCTGACCGTTCCAGATAGTCAGTGCGTATCAATTCCAAATCTTTCTATTTCTCAAGTTCTCCAAACACTTGGTCACAAAGCCAGGTTTTTACTTTCTTACGGAAGGTCAGGACGGAGGGGGCTGATCTGATGTCCATGGGGAGGAAATTCCACAGCTAGGGGGCCATCACTGAGAATGCCCTGTCTCTCCCTGTCAATCGTGCCTGCGAGGAAGGTGGGACTGAGAGCAGGGCCTCCCCAGGTGATCTTAAACTCCGAGATGGTTCATAGGACAGGTAAACTGGGCCAGAACCGGTTACCTTCCTCTAAAGCTTTTACAAGCATTCTATAGGTTTTTATGCCTAAATTGGTCTTCCCTCCATCAAACCACTATACCACACTGTTTCCTATCCCACTTCCTATAGTGTCCCTATCTGTTTTTGAATGCATATCAGCCATAAGACAAAGTCCAAAATCTATCTTGTAGTATACCTTTATTTGGCAAACCAGAAAAACAGAATGATATGTACAAGCTTTCTAACTCTCTAGACCAGTGGTTCTCAACCTGTGGGTCCCCAGATGTTTTTGGCCTTCAACTCCCAGAAATTCTAACAGCTGGTAAACTGGCTGGGATTTCTGAGAGTTGTCGGCCAAAACACCTGGGGACCCATAGGTTGGGAACCACTGCTCTAGTCCCTTCCATTATATAAATTAGCTTTTCCAAAAACAGATAGAAGAAGTGAAATTGAGGAAAGGAATGACTTGGTTAAAGCCTCGTTGTCTGATGGATCCATCAAGATGTTATGGGAATATCTAATAGAACTTTGAAAGCTCTTCCACCGTGGTCATCTTTTGAGCTAGCCTCTTAACCCTTCAGTCATCACCACTGAACTCTTAAGCAGGCTTTTCTCTTTCTCTAATTTTATTCCATCCTATTTGGAATTTATTTTAGATGGTCCTTGTATTGTGGTGTAACAAGTTTGATTGTTCAGGAATATGATTCTTGAAATATTATTACACTTTAATGATGTGCTAAAGACTACTTATTCAATCCATATTTTTCAGTGCCGTTTAGTGACACTGCTGGATGACAACAGCTTGCACTTATGGGCCCTGAAGCAGTCCAACAGCGGTTTATCTGAGCTTCAGGAGGAAAGGCACTTCACGCTCCGAGGACCTCCTGGGTAATTGGGACAAAGGCAGGCTTAGAAGCTCAGTCTTTATGCAGTATTTTTTACCTTTCAAATTTGTTTAAGATTTCATAAAATGATAAATGATTTTGATAGCCTGTTGTGTTTTTTAACTGAGATGGGATGTTGAAAAAAATCTGATCTTTGTTGTTGTTGTTGTTGTTGTTGTTTTCTGACTGAGCCTTGACTTAGAGCTAATAGTGTTCTTGGATATAGTTTGAATGGGCTGCCAAGTTATAGTAAAAGAATGCAGCCATTGTGATTTATGGGGATTTTGGATGCTAAAAGTGACTTGCTGACCAATATAGGATGTGAAGCTATATAATGTTTACTATAAAATAGGAAACCTTTGGTGTTCTCAGTATTTCAGACTTCAACCTCCATAGTTCTTGAATATTTAACCTTTTAAGATTTCCCCTTCATCCTCCATGTACAGATCCCCTCCAAGTGCCACCCAGGTGACTGCGATCCTCGCACATTCCTCGCAGGAGCTTCTGTACCTTGGCACGGAGAGCGGCAATGTCTTTGTGGTGGAGATTCCATCTTTCAGAGTGCTGGAAGACCAGACTATCTGTCCAGAAGTTGTACTGCAATGGTAAACACAGACAATTGGAGTTAGGCAGTCTGTGGAAGGACTCTTGGTTGTGATGGTGAATGCATAAACTAGAAGCAGTTTAAAAAAAATAAAATGGAATCCATTGCTAGATCCCTTGATGATTTATAGAATCCTAGTTGCTGTTTTTTCTTTAGTAGATCCTGTAAACTCGAAGTCATTCTTCTCCAGAATTGAAGTACAGTTGGGTGTAGTTGTTTTCCACATTCACATGAAGTAATGCAGATTGAGTTTCCCTTATTTGAAATTCTTGGAACTAGAAGTGTTTTCCTTCCATATTCGAATTTTTCGGATTTTAAAATATAACATTTTCATAATGAGATCTTGAAGATAGAACCCATGTCTAAACACAAAATTTATTTATATTACATATATACCTTATACATATAGCCTGAAATTAATTTTACATAACATTTTAAAGAAATGTGTGCACGACTTAACGTTTGTATACAATGAACAATCAGAAAGCCATCTATGTGACCTGTAATATTGTTACTGTAGCCAACCTTAATCCCAGTCTCTCAGGCTGGTCGATCTGTGTGGATGAAGAGGCTCCCTTATCTTAGATACTAGCCCTGCAAACTATACCCCTCCAGGGTCATACTTTTGGATTTTGTGCACGGGGAGGGGAACCCAGATGGGCTTAAAGACCTCTTTATCTGGAAACATATTGAAGATTTATCTTTACCAATGTAACAAGGTACATTTTTTGTAGATGTAGCAGCAGTGGTGTTGGCAATTCAGGTTAATTTTGTTAATTGTTTTGAAATATGCAGACCATGTTATTGTGTGTATCTTCAAATTGTTTCTAACTTATAGTGACCCTAAACCCACCCTATTACAGGGTGTTCTTGGAAAGTTGGTTCAGAGGGGGCTTGATCTCTGCCTTCCTCTGATTTTGAGAGTATATGGTTTGCCCACACACCATAATGTATTGTGGTTATTATTTTGTAACAATTTCAGCATATGGTTCCTGCTTATTGCCTGCATGTACAATGGGGCTGGGTGCTCTGCTCTCCAGTTGTTACTGGACTGCAGTTGTTACCATTCTTGATCATTAGCCATACTGGCGGCTGCTGATGGGAGATAGTTCTGCATCATTAGAGAACCACAGATTTCCCATCCTTGTGAAATGCTCCAGTTTTGGGGAAAGGTACCCTCTTAAATTGCCACCAGAGCTATAATGGCATATGTGAAAAGGTGGCAATGAGCACCATGTGGTTGAGTCTTGGACAGCAGCATATGACTAGTTTTTCTGTATTGTTGTCTGGTCAAAGAAAATAGTTTGCTTGCAGGATTTCAACAGTTATTTCTTTTCATATTTTGCTTAATCTTTTGGCTCAGAGAAGCATCATGATGAAGTGGATTTCATTTTTATATTTCCATTCATTTTCTTGCAGTGTGCCAGAAGATTATCGAAACAGACGGTCACTCGAATTAGTAGAAGCCTTACGGGAACATCCACGGAACCCCAACCAGATCTTAATCGGATACAGCAGAGGCCTCATTGTACTCTGGGACTTGATAAATAACAAAGCAACATATCATTTCCTTGGCAGTCAGGTATCTGGTACATTCTAGTGGCTCTGGACTGGGGATGGAAATTCCTGCATCTATGGAAAAAGGGATCAGGGAAGTCAGCAGCTTAACTTGTGTTATGTGTTCCACACAGTCACAGAATCCTGCTTCTCTCTTAGAGAAATAGAGAAGCCATATTGGGGATTGAGAGACAGATCACTAAGTGTTTCCCCACTTGCAGCTTGCCTATTCAGAATGTCTTTGTGGGACTTTTCAGGCAATAATTACATTCATGGAATGGGAAGCCTTGCAGTTTGGAATTAATGAAGAAAAACAAGTTTCTGTAAGGCTATTGGGGTAAGAGGGAATGGGTCCAAAGATGCAAAGGCATTCCATCAGATACTGCCAATGTAGCTTTTTTTTGTTGTGTTTTTATTTCCCTGAGCCATGAGATACAGCCACCACTACCTCACTCTCTGACACCTTTTTACAGCCCTTCCTGTTTGTATTCAGAACACTGAATACTGTGACAAGTTGATTTGCACACAGTTGTTGCTGGGAAGAACAACTACCTCATTTATCTCTTTAAACACTAACAGATTTATTATAGCATAAGCTTTTGTGGGCCAGACATACATCCTTGCTTTTTGGCAGTAGGGAAGAATAGGCTTGAAAGGCAGCCTGCAACTGATTTATGCACAATGGGGCTTCACCACATATGCATTTTAAATACTGAATGCATGAACAGTTCAGACTTACATTGTCTTAAAAGGGAGATACAGACCTGAGTCAGCATTCCTTCTCTTAGTTCAGTAGCCCAGACAGAGTAGTCATCTGTGGTTGAGACCATCCAAGTAAGCATTTTAATACGCTTCAGGCTTCCAAGATCTTTTGATAAGGATTCAAAAGAAAAGAAAGAAAGGGTTGTATTCTTTCAACAATGAATATTTATTGTATTCTAGCATCTCATGGCATGGTGTTTCTTCTTAATGAACCAAAATATGTGTTACACAATTTTTGGATCATGTGATTTTAATATTATACTGTGATGTTTTAATGCTTTGTCTTATGTTTAAATGTTGTTTATGTCTTATGTTTAATGGTTTTAATGATTTTAATTTATAGTTATATGTTAGTGTTCACTTATTACATTTTTTCCTTTCTCTGTGTATGTTGGCACTGAATGTTTGCCATTAATATATTGTAAACTGCCTCAAGTTGTGTCCCCCCCCCCCTCCCGCCTGGTATGTAAATATAGTAAAAAAAGGTGGTATGTAAATATAGTAAAAAATAAATAATAAATTTATCATGGGCCTTGTTATTTCTTCTTCCTAGCAACTAGAAAACCTCTTTTGGCAGAGGAACGGTCATCAGATCATCAGCTGTCACAGTGATGGAAGTTATACTCAGTGGCCAGTTTCAAGTGATGATAGGCGTCCTGAGCCCCTGGAAAGCAAAGTGCCTTATGGTCAGTATGCAGATAGCTGGTCCTCCATATTGAATGTGAATTGATACATATTTGGAGTGAGGCTGTGAAATCTTTGGAACCACAAAGGAAATTCTGCTTGCTTGCCATAAGAAGCTCACTTGAAGCTAAAGATGCAAAAAGCAAGGAAATTATCAAACACCAAGTTACTGCATGGGCATATTTGTATACCAGATATAAAAAAATGTATGACGTGTTGGGCTCATTTAAAATCTTGATACACCCAATAGTGCCCTGAAAGGGTGCAGCAAATTGGAAGCATTTGATGAATAATAACCTGGTAAAGCAGAACTGGTTTTCAAACTTCAGAGCTGTAATCGGCTGTTGTTAAGGTGCAGCAACCACCAATCCTGACCATTGATCATGCTAGTTACAGCTTATGGGAGCTGGAATCCAACAACAGCCCTCAGGGCCAAGGTTCCCCTGATACAAGCTGGCTGTTTCTGATTCCAGGGTTTCCATAGTTAATGTCATGTTCTTTTGTGAAAAATGTAGATGAGAGGAAAGTGAAGATGTTTTTGCTTTTGTTGTCTCACATCTATTGATAAAAAGCAAACAATGACATGTGAATTCTCTACTGATATAAGCCTGTGCTTGAAAAGTATCTTCTTTCCAAATTTGTTCATCTAGGTCCTTTTCCTTGCAAGGCTATCTCCAAGATATACTGGCAAACAACGAACGGGTAGGTACTTTGGCAGATAATACAATGCTCCCCATTCTCCAGAGCTTCTAGACTAACCCTTTGGTAACAAGTGCTGCTGCTTGCTAAAAAATCTTCCGCCAGCTGTCATGCTGCCTGGATTCCCTGGCATCAAAATAACTTGAACTTTGCAGCAACCCATCGGACTGCTTAGATGTTGCTGTGTCTTTTTTGATCCATTTAGAACTGCAGTGATTTAAAATGCCATATTTTAGCACAGTCTCCTTCCCAAGGTGGCTTGCAGTTGAATTGTTTTAGGCCAATGGGCCTTTACATCAAAATGAAATTACATTTAAAAGCAGTAGGCACAGCCAACAAAATACTAATTAAAGATATGACAGCACATCTCAAATGAAAGGATCCTCCAAACACAAGAGATTTATCCAGGTGTCAAAAAGGATAATGGAGATGGTGCCAAGTGATCATGCAGAATGGAAGACTCCACGGTTTGGATGCCACCATAAAGAAGCCCCTTCTGTTCTCTTTGGCTTTGAAAGTTGGGAATGGCACATGGGCAAGATGTCCTAGAGATCAGGACCCCAGTCCAATTAGTGCTTGAAAATAATAAAAGTGGTGTTGCATATTTATACATGTATCTGAAGGACAATTACTCAGTGTCTAGAATTGCTGGGATGTTTTAAGACCTAAAAGTTTTAAGTTGGGGCAAGTATTATGTAGAACAGTCATATTTACCCAGGTACAGAAATCTGTATTGCTATATTTAAAACCCTTCTGGCTCACAATGGCAAGGACTGGAGGATACTCTTTTTTTTTAAGGAACATTTTGTCCTCTCCCACTGAACTCAGGATGAGGAACTAGTAAATAATTATGTAAGATTCAGCACTAGTATACACAGAGGGCCTTTTTTAGGGGATGTAAGCGATAATCCTACAGATCAATATTTTCCCATAGAAAATCCTATTCTGGTCTCACTGCCTGTAGAAAACCATGGACATTTTCAGGGACAAAGGTTGATCTTTATGCTCCCAGACAAGGAAGCCCCCCCAGAAGTAGTAGAAGAAATTTGCACCATCCTGTATCCTCTTAGTGGCCAGTCCACAGAGTTTAGTATTTTCCCCTTAAACTTTTTCTTAATTGTTTTGTTTTAGGCTTCCGTATATTATATTCCAAGGAGGGATGCCACGGGCAAGTTACGGAGACAGGCATAGTATTTCAGTTGTTCATGGTAATCGGCAGACGGCCTTTGACTTCACATCACGAGTGATAGATTTCTTTGTCATTGCTAATGCAGATCCATTTGCAGGTATGTAGAAGAGTCTCAGAGGCTGGAAATGACTGCATCAGTTCTAAGGGAATACATTGGGAATGTTACTCATGCTTTAAAATGCCAGATATTAACATTATTATTGCCGAGCTTCAGGTAACAATTGAGGAATACTACCTTGCATGCTGGTAATTTTTTGCATACTAATGGAGAAGGATTTTTGCATTCATAGGATCCAATCTCTGAACTCATAACATAAAGTGTTTTCATATAACTATAGAGAAGCTAAATGGCAATTATAACCTTAAACTCTAATTGAAACTTTCAATTCAAATCAGATTTGGTTTCATAGAGCTTAGGGTCTCTTCATAACTTGCATTAGCAATGCTGTCCCTAATTACTGTCGGGAACATTTAGTTTTATAAACAAAACCACTGCTGATGAGAAAAGCATCATCTCTGTTCTCCTTGCACAAGGAGTGTTAGCGCTCATATGCTGATAAAAGGTACTTAAAAGGTGAAAAGGGCCAGTGCATTCATCCTGTGGATGTCAATTTGCAAGATGGTTCAAATATGCGCAAACATTGAATGTTTTTTGTTTTCTGTTTGGACAAGGCAGCTCTGTACAAAACCCCAAGCTTTCCTTTGTCTCTTTCTTACCCATGTCTCCTCTTGTCTCAGCTGCTGCCAGACAGAAGAAACAGTAAACTCTGTGTTACCTTCTTGTGCCCAGGGGGAGATGCTAGCACAGCAGGCTATCAACAATTGAGATCTCTTTTCGGCTCATTTTCCCTTGTGGCCATTTGGAAGCCTGCTGAAAATGGCAGGGCACACAGAGTTTACTTCTGAATGTGCAGGATCCTAGGCATTTTTCTGAGCCCATCAGCTGACAGGGCTGGCCATGTGCATAACAATCAAACAGGAACTGAAGAAAGGAAGCTATTGCTCTTGTGTGCGCAGTCCAGGAAGTTGTTCAACAGTCATCTGAGGTTTCTGTGGCAGACCGGGTTCCTTGTAACCAACTGTGTAAGCCTAATGGGACTCGGCCTCAGCTCACCTCGCCTGCTCCTTGGTTTGTTCGGCAGAGTGTGAGAGTGGGTCACTCATTGCTTCCCAAATCCACTTACATTAATGAGTAATGCTTATGTAATTGCTATTTGGGTGTTGGGAAGCTGCACTTCTGCTTCTTTCTTTAGATGTCCAGGCTCTGACCACTTGGGGTTGCAGGATAAAAATATGTTGTATAATTAGGGGACAAGTACAAAAATGCCTTGTGTTATTCTGATTAGCAACAGTGTGCGTGAATATACACTTCCAGCTTTCCCTTTCTTCCTTCCCCATAATTAGGACATCTGTCTTTATCCCTTGCTTCTTTAAAGTAGCTTAGGAAAGGACACTTTATATGTGAGTGCCATTCTTACACAACATGAGATGGTTGTGTAGTATCTTCTTCTGAGCCAACTGGAGCCTTCAGGATCTTTGTTTACAGGACACAGTATGTCAGTAATTTAGAAAAGTGAAAGACCACCTTAGTTATAAAAAAAGGTTGCTCTGTTTTCAGTGCGACTTTGATATCATTAAGGCCTATATATTGAAGATCTAGTCTATTGATCATATATTTTTTTAATCGCATCAGAGGCGACTTGAAAAACTGCAAGTCACTTCTGATGTGAGAGAATTGGCCATCTGCAGGGACGTTGCTCAGGGGATGCCCAGATGTTTTACCTTCCTGTGGGAGGCTTCTCTCATGTCCTCACATGGGAAGCTGGCACTGACAGATGGGAGCTCACCCCATCTTGTGGATTTGAACCAACCTTCAGGTCAGCAGTTCAGCCAGCACAAGGGTTTAACTCATTGCACCACATCAGCTCCTACTAATCATATGAGTTACAAGGATAAATAACTTTTGTCATACTTCCCCTATGCCTGCCATGGTAGATATGTGCATAAATCTTGAAAGGGGCATTTTGTTCCTTTTATGAGCATGATATTCAATCTGCACTTTTTAAAACAGAATATTACAGACAATATAAGCTTCATACCCCAGTTCTTCTTTTTATATATTTTTATCATGTAACATATGATACTATAAAATTATAAATATAGATACGGTTGAACATGAAGTAGATTTTAGAGGTGAGTTTTCAAAAGAAGAATGTTTTTGGAGATAACAGGCTGGGAACAATACACAATAATTCAGTGCAGGCAGTAGCTTGCTGGCTAACTTTTACCCATTTCTAACCATGACTGGCCTTAAAACTATGGCGTTTGTTTCCAAAATGTACCAAATAAAAAAATGAGCTATAGGTAGCAGCACATTGTTGACAAGGAGTAGAATATTGTCTACAGATCAAAAATATCAAATAACTTTGGTACAGGGTTTGGACAATTGCATTTTATAGCAAAAAATGCATATTCCCAACTTGATTGTTTTCAATCCCTGCAAAATTTGTTCAGGTGGCTTTGGTACCTTTTGGAAATAAGCTCCACAAAGACATTCAGAATCTTATTTGAGAACACAGAAATGCTGGACCACTCTCACAATCACCATGTCAGACTACACAGAGAAGCCGTTGAAGTCCACAAGCATGTGGACAATTTCAATAGAAAAGAGGAAACCATAAAAATGAACAAAATCTGGCTACCAGCATTTTAAAAAACTCTAAAATCAGGCAGGAAGCAGCCAGGCTTTGAAGCTGCAAGGCTATTCAGTGCTAATCAACCTGGTCAATTGCAACATTCACACTTTCCTCCAATAGAAAAGAGTTCTTCCTCCTATATAAGCCCTAATTGCCTAGTTTCTGACCTTACAACCTTTGTGGATACCTGTTATAGATGAGAGTGAAATGTCAGGAGAGAATGCTTCTGGACATGGCCATCCAGCCTGGAAAACTCACAGCAACCCATATTTAGAATTGGTTGTAGATGTAGTACTAGTAGTAGTAATAATAGATATTTAAGTTGGTTGAATTTTATTTAAATTTTAACAATAATAATTTTAATGATATAATGATAAGAACATTTTGCTGAATTCAGATGCAGCAGCACACATGCATTGTTCATTCCAGAAACAAGGGGAAGCGAGGGTGAGCCCGTGGAGAAGCAGCTTCCAAGTTGTAATGAAATTCTTGTTCTTAAACAGATCAACAATTCTCAGAACCAGCAACACAACTACATTTTAAGCAGCTTAGTTTACTGGATTGGCCTGTGTTCCTAGAAACGATCTAAAGTAGTACTAACTGGGTCGGTGCCAAGTAGGCACAATGCAGTCCGTCACTGGGAGGGCTTTTACAAACCGCAGGTAAAAGACCCTTGCATCAATAATTAGATTTGCAAGTCTCCTCAGGCCACTTGGCACCACTTTTTTTTACTATGCAGATAATCTTGATGAGACCTGTACACAGTCCTCTATTAAGCATGATAGTAAGGACTTGGATAAAAGCACCAAATTGTATTGTCTAGTTTTGGAGATACTTTGTTGTTAGTTTCTTTATAGAAGAGATTACATGCTGTATTTCAACAATTTCCTAGAGCAGTTTATAAACAATTAAAAATTCAAATTGAAAGAAACCAACCAGATGATAATAGCACCTTGTAATGAACTTGGGCAACACAGTTATAGATGTCTGGGTTCAAATTCAAGGGTTTTGGGAAACATCGTGTAGAACTTGCAGAAGACCCTGAGAGACAGCCAGACATTTGTCCGGTGGTATGGCCCTTTGGTGGGAAGGTGTGAAAATGTCTCCATTTTTCAGATGGAGAAATTATATAATGACAATGGGCAGAAGGAACTTCTTGGGATTGGTGAAGGGCAGGCATGAGGTCCAATTGCCTTGTCTTTTAAAAATGTGCTTGCAAGCTAGACAAAGAGTATTAGACTCACCCTTCTCCCAGTAAATACCAGAAGACCCATATTGCCAACAACAGTCTTTAAGCTTGAGGTTACCAGGACGTAGAACACTTTTAAAAGTAGCATGGTATAATGGTTTGAGTGCTGGACAATGACTCCAGAAAACCAGAATTTGAATCCCTGCTCAGCACTGGAAACCTGCTGGTTGACTTTGGAGAAGTCACACTCTTACAGCCACAGAGGAAGGCACACCACCAATGAATAAATTGTGCCACAGCACCCCTGACCTATGAGGTCGCCAAGTGTCATACTAAACCTGAAGACATGTATTAATAACACCAAAGATCAATGGAGTCGCTAGATAGCATGCCCTTTCTAGGTCCTTATTTATTAATTAAAATATTTCATAATGCTTTTCTGTCGATTTTTTAAAAAAATTAAAAATATAGAAATATATCTTATGCAGGTTTTTTTAAAAAAAGCCTGGATGGCAGTCTTGGCTGAAGAAAATGAGAGTTACTGCACAGAGAGACACAGTTGGGAAAGGCTGCGTTAACCTCTCCCCTGGCTTAGCCAAATACAGTGCTCATGGCACACGATGTTCTCTAATTCATAGCTGGATCCTGATCTGCTTGAATCAATAGTCTAGGTTAATGCAAATGAATCTTGTAGCACCTTTGAGATGAAGTGAGCAAAGCATAAGCTTTTGTAGACTAAATCTACTTAATCAGATGCATGAAGTGCGTAGGAATAGATTTTATAGACATTGCATGTGAATAGCCAAGGAAATGCAAAACTTGTGGGTATGGTGATGAGGTGAGAATCTGAGTTTTAACAATGGTTGTTGGGGGACAAAGGCAGAAGGAGAGATGTTGCCCCAGGTAAAGATGAATGGATAATCATATGAATGGTGGAAAGAGTTATTGGAATGTAGTGTGATGCTGGCTGGGATCCAGAAAGATTTGATAAACTGTCTAACTTTATTACCCTCATGAAGCTAAGGTCTTAACTAGTGTTATAATATGTGTAGTGTGCCAGGGAACCATTGTCTCTGTTCAACCTGCTCCTAGTGGATTGGAGCTTAGACTAACCTTGCCACTTGTCATGTTTTAATATATGATTACATTATCCCCATTACCTAGAGTCCTCTTCCAAGAAATAATGGTTCCCTATTTACATGTGTTTTCTTGTAGAGTTTGATGAGCCATCTGCAATGGTGGTGTTGGCGGAAGAAGAGCTGGTAGTCATAGACCTGATGTCTCCGGGCTGGCCGTCAATCCAACCTCCTTATCTTGCATCCCTCCACTGCTCAGCCATCACATGTTCTCATCACGTCTCCAATATTCCTCTCAAGTTATGGGAAAGAATAATCAGTGCAGGGAACAAACAGAACCAGTTCTCTAATATGGTATGATTTGCATATGTCGATAGGGAAGAAATATATTTGAAACAAATTAATCACATGACAAAAATCTTTCCTCTCACTAGATTTTGAACATTTCCACAAACCAGATTAGAGGCAGAAGATGCCTTAGATCCCCATATCTGTTGGACCAGTCTCGGTGGTTTCATTGTCTATGTTAGTGGTTCTCTACCTGTGGGTCCCCAAATGTTTTGGCCTTCAACTCCCAGAAATCATAGAGTTGGAAGACACCTCATGGGCCATCCAGTCCAACCCCCTGCCAAGAAGAAGGACAATTGTGTTCAAAGCACCTCCAACAGATGGCCATCCAGTCTCTGTTTAAAAGCCTCCATAGAAAGAGCCTCCACCACACTTCGGGGTAGAGAGTTCCACTGTTGAACAGCTCTCATAGTTAGGAAGTTCTTCCTAAAGTTCAGGTGGATTCTCCTTTCCTATAATTTGAAGCCATTGTTCCACGTCCTAGTCTCCAGGGCAGCAGAAAACAAGTTTGCTCCCTCCTCCTTATGACTTCCCCTCACATATTTATACATGGCTATCATCATGTCTCCTCTCAGTCTTCTCTTTTGCAGGCTAAACATGCCCAGCTTTTTAAATCGCTCCTCATAGGGCTTGTTCTTCAGACCCTTGATCATTTTAGTTGCCCTCCTCTGGACACATTCCAGCTTGTCAACATCTCCCTTCAGTTGTGGTTCCCAGAATAGGACACAGTATTCCAGGTGTGGTCTGACCAAGGCAGAATAGAAGGGTAGCTTGACGTCCCTGGATCTAGACACTCTACTCCCATTTATGCAGGCCAAAATCCCACTGGCTTTTTTAGCTGCAGCATCACATTATTGGCTCATGCTTAACTTGTTGTCCACAAGGACTCCAAGATCTTTTTCACACGTACTGCCCTTGAGCCATGTGTCCCCCATTCTGCATTTCATTTTTTTCTGCCTAAGTGGAATATCTTGCATTGGTTCCCAATGAACTTCATTTTGTTAATTTTGGCCCATCTGTTAAGATTTTTTTTTTGTCGTGTCAGGAGCAACTTGAGAAACTGTAAGTCGCTTCTGGTGTGAGAGAATTGGCCATCTGCAAGGACGTTGCCCAGGGGACACCCGGATGATTTGATGTTTTTATCATCCTTGTGGGAGGCTTCTCTAATATCTCCGCATGAGGAGCTGGAGCTGATAGAGGGAGCTCATCCGCCTGTCGGTCTTCAGTCCTGCCAGCACAGGGGTTTAACCCACTGTGCCACCGGGGGCTCCTTGTTAAGATCATTTATCCAGTAAACTGGCTGGGATTTCTGGGAGTTGTAGGCCAAAATACCTGAGAAGAACCACTGGTCTATGTCATCTAGTGTGACTCTATGGTTCAGAAGCCCTTAATTTCAAAAGGGGTTTGCTATTTTCCATTGTTTTACGTTTCACTTGAAGTCTGGCAACATATTTCCTGTGGGTTGTTCTTTATTCCTGCTTTTAAAGAAGAGTATGAGTGCAAAAGAGTGTTTTCCCAGCATCAACTTATTCCACTATCCTACATATTTGAAAGTAAGACCCCTTCAATGCAGAATCTGCTTCCCTTTGTAGGGAGATAATGATGCACATGTGCAGAAAAAGTTGCATGTTATGGTGGAATGCAGAAACTCCTGCAAAACCTTTGTGAATTACATTTCTCATTGTAAAAGAGTCCTCTGCCTAGTGCTCAGGCAACATAAAGGAAACTACTTGAACTTGTGTAGTATTTTTTTCTGAATGCCCAAAGAGATAGTGGTCTGGGAGAGGCTTATAGTGTGAGGACAGGGGATTGATTGGATTTCTCCTGAATTATTTCCAATCCCCTCCCTCTGCTCCTTTAATCTCCAGCCACTATCCCTGTAAATCTGCACACCTGTTCTTTTCCAATACTCTGTGAATCTGCATCTTGTAAATCAATTATGGGAATCCCCCAATCATGGGCTGCAGGCCGACCTTAGGCTTGTCTGAGTGCCCCCACTGCCCACTTTTACCATTTATGGGGCAAAGGACACTCCACCCCAGCAGTAAATGGATGCACCTGGTGACCTCAGCTTTAGATATCTTGAAATCTAACCAGTTCACAGTAAATCTGTGGATAGGATAGTTTCAGAATGCTCCAACAGTCGGGGCTTTCAAATATCCCGAGCTTTCTGCAGCAGCTGCTGCTTACAGAAAAAAATGTAGGTTAATGGATTCTCTCTGACCTTATATTAAACCTCTGCAAAAAGAAATTGGCTTGTAAAACCTTAAGAAGTGATGTCTAATCTTAATCCAAACAAAGCCTAATCTGTATAAATTTGGTCTCTAATACTTTCTTGCTCTCCAACCCACTCCTCCTGGATCTCCTCATTGCATATGTACTTATAACTTTACATATGGTATGTACTTTAAAAAAAACCTTCTGTTTTTCTAGCCATGGCCAATTGATGGAGGTACTAGCAAGGCTCCAGATCCTCCGCAGCGGGATCTGCTGCTTACAGGGTAGGTCCTTCCCTCGTGTTTATTTCTGTGGTGGGTTTGGTTTTGCAGTCTCCTACTAGAATGCCTACTAGAAGGTACTAGCTGCTGAGCAAGGTGGGCAAGAGGGTGCTATTTTGCTTGTGAGTTTCCCATCTTTCATTGGCCACTGTGTGAACAGTGTGTTGGGCTACATGCATGCCTTAGGTATGAATCTATCAGGGCGCTGTTGCATCTACACAGTTTGAATGAATGAATTAATGAATGAGAATGGTAAGTATAGGAATAGAGTCATTGCATGCAGAACAGTAACTCAAACACTGGCACATTGGAGAATACAACAACTTGAAGCTTTATTGATCACCAATTCTTATGAAAATACAGTTTTTTAAAAAAAAAGATATATGTGCCATTGTGCTTAATTTAAAGACATAGCCATGTTTGTCTAGAATACACAAATGGATCTTGTAGCCTCTCTGATACTGATGGAAAAAATTGTAACATTAACTTTTGGAGGATGTAGACTCAGCATACAGAAACTTACGTTGTAATTTCTTTCTCTCAATCTCAAAAGGTTCTACAAAATCCCTTTGCATATTGTGCTTATTTTAAAAATAAACTAAAAACTAATTAGGCTGTGGCAGTATTTTTTTTGTTATTTATTGTATTTCTATCCCGCTTTTCTCAACCCTAGGGGGGGCTCAAAGTGGTTTCCAGCATAGTAAATGGCAAAGATTCCGTGTCTCACAATCATATAAAACAATACAGTACAACTAAAACAATAACATAACTATAAATTTAAACCATTAAAACTATACAAACTGTCAAACAGATCTGTAAAATGTTAAACATTTAGCCATAGCATCAATCCCGTGAATTCCTTAAACTGCTTAAGTATTGCCTTCATTTATGGAATGCTTGCTTGCATAGAGAGGTTTTCAGCTGTTTTCTGGATGTCAGGAGGGAGTAGGCCAATCTAATCTTGCTGGGGAGGGAATTCCACAGCTGAGGAGCCACCACCGAGAAGGCCCTGTCTCTCATTCCCACCAGTTGCACTTGTGAAGATGGCAGGGCTGAGAGCAGGACCTCCCTGGCGGATCTTAATGCTCTAACTGGCTCATAAAGGGAGATATGTACAGACAGGTAAGCTGGACCAGAACCATTTAGGGCTTTATAGGCTAAAGCCAGCACTTTGAATTGTGCTTGGTAGCAGACTGGCAGCCAGTGGAGTTGACACAACAAGGGAGTTGTATGCTCCCTGAGCGCCGCTCCAGTTAGGAACCTGGCTGCCACCCAGTGGACCATTTGAAGCTTCCGAATAGTCTTCAAAGGCAGCCTCACGTAGAGTGGGACGTAACCAGAGCTTGGACCACTGTGGCCAAGTCTGACTTCCTATGGTTTGGGTGCAACTGTTGCACAAGTTCTAATTGTCCAAAAGCTCCCCTGTCCACCTCTGAAACCTGGGGTTCCAGGCTCAGCAATGAGTCCAGGATCACTCCCAAGCTGCAAACCTATGTCTTCAGGGGAAATGTAATCCCATCCAGCAGAGGCTGTAACCCTATGCCCTGTTTGGCCTTACAGCTGACCAGGAGTACCTCTGTCTTGTCTGGATTCAATTTCAATTTGTTCACCCTCATCCAGACCATCACAGCCGCCAAGCACCGGTTCAGTATCACTTTTGTCTTGTAGAAAGTTTTGCTTTGTCATTATTGAAAGCCTCTGCTGGATGACTAGCAGACTAGCAGGCTAGCAGACTAGCAGGGCCTGTGGAGGGTTCCTGCTCAGATTCCTGGTAAGATTCTGCCACATAAAAATGCAAGTGCCCTCCCAGTCATACTAAAAAGGTAATTAATATACAGAAGCTGAGATATGTATCAGTGTTCTTGGAAACCAGGTGTACTGGTATTGTGTGAGTCAGTCAAGTATAAGGGTCTTTCATTAGACTTCAGAAAGCCCAAGGGGACACACAACTTAATATATGAAATGTTAGTTGGTGTTGTAAGCAGCAGTGAAGTCCGGGGAAAAAGTCATGATACTGATCTCGCCAAACAAAAGTGTGACATTTCAGAAGCAATTGCACTAATGTCTTGGTCATTTTCTCCATTTGGTTACTATCATTCATTTGAAGGCAGTTTTTTGTTTTAAAAAAAAGACTGCTATCTAAGAGCCACAGTACAAAAAATAAGTATGTATGAATGGAAGAAAAGGAAAAAGAAAAGAAAGTTAAACAAATTCAGGTATTAAATGTTTAATTCAGTTGGACACAGCGCAAGTGGGTGGTCACTACAAAAGACTGCTGTTAGAATGCAGGGAGCAAAATGATATTTGTTTCCTGGTGAACTGGGCCTTGTTTTCTTATCTCTTCCTTCCCTTAGGCTCCTGATTACGGTATGACCTCCCCACATGAACATACTGATGATGCATTGCACATTATGTTTGTTCTGATTATTACCGTCTCAGATATTCATGGCCCATCTTTGTTTCCTTTCCCCCAGGCATGAGGATGGCACTGTCAGGTTCTGGAATGCCTCTGGTGTTTGTCTGAACCTGCTGTATAAGCTGAGCACTGTGAAGGTGTTCCTAACAGATGCAGATCCCAATGACAATATGAACCAGCTGGGGGAGGATGAATGGCCGCCGTTGCGTAAGGTGAGGTGCCCAGAGCTCAGTTTAAACCTTCTGAATCCAAGATGTAGGATTTTCTGGCAAAACATTTCATGTGTTGCTTTGTGTTTATGTGGTCTCTGTTTCTTGCCTCCCTGCCTTGCTAGGTTGGTTCCTTTGACCCATACAGCGATGATCCCAGACTTGGCATTCAGAAGATCTTCCTGTGCAAATACAGTGGCTACTTGGCTGTAGCAGGAACGGCAGGGCAGGTAATGAAATTCATGAAAAAGATCCAGGTGGGCAGTTGCAAACATTTTGTCCAGCAGCAGACTCAGTCATCCCCTCCCCCAGAAATTGTGTCTTTAAATGGCTGTGCGTGCACAGAAGCTTGGATCTGATAATGCTGCATACTCTGAGCTGGAATATCTTTCTGTAATCCTCACAGTTGGAGGGGTTGTGGGAGGTGGAAGCACTCTAAATGCTCAGATGACTGCTGTGTGCTCTTTGTGCTGGCCCCTAGCTTATAACCATGGTCAGAGTCAGTGTTCTTGAAAGGCCATGTTCAGTCCCTACTTAGCATACTGATGTAGCTGCAGCTGCTCTCTTGTTCAAGCTGTCTTTTAGTATCTTTGCTCTCTACTATCTTATACTGGGTTTTTTTAGTGGGGGAGTATGACATTTTGAAAAATATTGTATAAAATGTCCTTCAAGCAATGTTAGCTCGTGGTATAAGGGGATTCTGAGAAATCTCTTGAGTAGCTTCGGGAATTTAGCTGCTTTCTTTCCACATTGCTGTATTCATAATGCAAGATAAACAATAAGAATCCTTGCTGTTGCCATACTGACGCAATATGGGTTAGCTTTTTTTTCATGGAAGGCTTGCTGACTGCCATTTATAGTGCACCAGCAAATCCTATCACGATACTGATATGCTGTTCCTTTGTTGATCATGGAGGAACAGTGCATAGACATGGCTGAATATAACATGCTTCACAGATGTTGTGCAGCATCAGGCAGGGGAAACCAGTAGTAATGACAGGAACATATTTGTTTTCCATTGTGCGGCATGGATTTGGATTCCTTCCAAAGGTATATTAGTTCAGCTTCTTGTAGAGCTTTGCCCATTGGGTTTTAACTAATATATCTGCTCCTTCTCTTTTTAACTCCTCTCCCAATATGGTTCTGTGTACTTTATATGCCTTTGCATGTAAACTGGTTTTCAACAGCTACTTTTGCTCAAAAAATACTCTTTGGAGGAGAGCCTCACTAGATGTGTGGGAGCCACACTGTTGCTTTCTAAAAATTCCTATACACATCCAGAATTCATAGGCAGTAGCCTAAATGTCTTCTCATTGGTAGGCCAAACTAGTTGTGTTTCCTTGCTCATCCCCCTCCTAACAAGAAATCCTGTCAAAACCCAAGAATGGTTTCTATAGAAGGGGGAACCCTTCTATAGAAACCATTCTTAGTGGGAGGCTTCAGGGGACCATTTACCAGTGTCAGATCCACAGGCAACTGCTTGGTAGGCTGGCCATCCGTAACATCCTGCCAGGTAATGTTTGGAATCTGGCCAAATATTCTTATCAGATTTGAAATAAGTGATAACTTCTCCTTGCTTTTGCATTGATTAACTCCCTGCCAGATTTGTTCCCATAACATGAATTTTATGAGGACACCTGCCAGTGCTGTTTTATGGGGATATGATTTTTATTTATTTTACTTTTCATTTCCTAAGATGGGTTTTTAAAAGTTCAGAGTATAAAAGAAGTGAGGGGCTACATTAAAATGCAAAACTCTTTCCCATTGTTTTCATTTCCTGGCACAGAGGAGGTGGTAGTGATGTTGGTTTTGCAAATGCTGAGAGATTTCGTAATTAAGTCCTGGATGAACTTTTGACACTCACTTCCTCTTGCTCTCCCAGGTACTTGTATTGGAGCTAAATGATGAGGAAGCAGATCAGGTGATTGATCGGACAGAAGCAGACCTTCTCCAGGACCAGGAAGGCTATAAATGGAAAGGTCATGAGCGACTGAAGACTAGAGATGGACCTGTTCGATTTGAGCCTGGCTTCCAGCCCTTTGTCTTGGTCCAGTGTCAACCCCCAGCTGTAGTCACATCACTGGCCCTTCACTCAGAGTGGAAACTTGTTGCCTTCGGTACAAGCCATGGCTTTGGACTCTTTGATCATCAGCAGAAGCAGCTAGTCTTTGTCAAGTAAGTTTCTGCCTGTGGGTTTGTTTTTTTTTAAAAAGATCCACAGTTCTCACAAATTAGAGCTCACAAAACACCCCACAATCTTGCACATAGGTTCAAGATGTTTTCAGGTGGAGAAAAGTCCTACCAGATTGGTCTGGCACAAAGGTTAAGAGCTCACGTAATGAGCTAGAAGTCCTTTGAATGAAACAAGGGCAAATCGGTATCCTGCCTTAGTCCTATATCTGCAATAGTGGGCCCTTAGTGTATGGTTGAGCTGGCCACTGAGATAATTGGATCATTTGGGCCACAATTGGAGCCATACAAAGTAAAGATCCTGAAGGCAGTCAAGAAGAATTTGTATTGAAATCAGATAGATCACTGATCTTACCTGTGGCCAAGAAAACCCAAAAGCTGTATTTGTTGTTTTCTTGTTTTAGGAATGCATTTTCTACCAGTTTTCATAGTGCCCTGCCCTTAAGGAAAGAGCCTGGTCTTCTTTTAACCAGCAAACGAACTTAGGTTGGGTCTACACTATCATATAATGCCCTTTCAGAAAGCAGATTAACTTCACTGTATATGATTATATGAGTCTACACTGTCATATAATCAAATTCAGTGCAGTTAATCTGTATTCTGAGATTGCATTATATGGCAATGTAGAACCAGCCTCAGATGCATGTCTGCAGAGTGTGTTTTTGGGAACAGGTCAACCAAATGGATTGGCCTTGGAAATTTATGCTGAGCCCTGAGCATATCTCCTCACTTTTTAGCCATATCCACTTTTGAAGTGATTCTTATCAGAGAAAGGTATATTTTTCCCATGAAAGGGGTGGGGTATGGATGTATCTTTCCCTGAAAATACTGATGTTGGACACTACAAAGAGAAGGACCACCATGTTCATGGATACACATCAAGTATATAATTATTTTGGGATTTAGGGACAGAAGGAGTTAACATAAAAAGAAGAAAATAATACCTTCAGCGTATATTTTTACCTACAGAGAAATACTATAATTGATTTAATGGCTAATAGCATTTTCAGATTCTGCCCAAGCATAACATGATCGCATGCTTTAAAATTAGACCCCCGAACAGTGTGGTAGTTTTGGAAACAGTTCTGACTTTCATAAAACTAGCATCACCAGAACAGTGGATTTTAGAACTCAGTCATTTGGGAAAATCTTACATTCCTTTGATACTCAATTCTGTGATACAAAGGGGAACAGCTCTCCTTTTAGGCTTTGTTTTGCCATTTCTGTTTACTCAGAAACGGAGCTGAATTGATCCTGTTGATTTTATTCTAGGTGCACCCTACATCCCAGTGACCAGTTGGCCTTGGAAGGCCCTCTTTCTAGAGTAAAATCCTTGAAGAAATCCCTCCGTCAGTCCTTCCGACGGATGCGGCGAAGCCGGGTATCAACCAGAAAGCTGCGAACAGCAGAGGTGAGGTGATCAGCTGCTCTGCTTTACTGAATGTGAACTCACTTCTAGATGCCCTGCCTTTTTATTTATTTAGTACACCTAGAGCCTATTTTTTCTTCCATCCTGGAGGAACTCAAGGTGGTATATGTAAGTAGAGAGCCCAGATAGGCTCCCATTCAAGACCAAAAGCCTTATTTCTTGCCAACTAGTATTCAGTTTAAAAAAGTGATGTAGCTTAATTGTCAGAATGCCATTATTTGTCTGGTTGTGAGATAGAAAAGGTAACTCTTGTGTTTGCTTACTGGGAAAAGGTACAAGAGGGGATCTCCAGACATGACCATGATGCGCTGCAGGAGATAGAACTGGCTCCCGTTCAGCGGAAGATTGAAGCACGGTCAGCTGAGGACTCCTTCACTGGCTTTGTGCGCACCTTATACTTCGCTGACACCTTCTTGAGAGACAGTAAGTAAAGTAGGCTTCTTTCTTCTTCTTTTTCCACATGTTCCTGTGTTCCTGTGCTGGGAATGAGGAAAGAATTGATCAACTATTTGCTTCTGTTACCTCCTGCACATAACCCTGGCCTTTCTGACTCATTCCAGACAATTTGGGTTGGTCACTCTCAACTGCTATCTCTTAATCTGAAAGGATCTAGTTCCAGTTATCTAGAACAAATTTGAATCTATATCCTACACACACACATACGTATGTGCATTCACAAACCAAATTTTAAAGCAGAATGGAGTGGGGGGAAAGTATTTAGTCAGATACCAATTGTACAAGTTCTCCCGCTTAAAAAGATGAGAGAAACCTGTAATTGACATCATAGGTAGACCTCAACTATGAGAGACAACATGAGTAAACACATCCAGAAAATCACTATATCCTTCTTAAAATAAGGTACCCAGAAATGAATATATTAGTCGAAATGTGAAGTACTACATAGAATATAGTGGGATTTCAGCTTCCCTCTATTTAGAAACTATTGTATTTCACTGTATAATGCCACATTTCCTGCTAAAAAGGATGTGTGTGGCTATTACTCAGTGGCGACTATTATGCGGTGGAATTGTTTTGCAGCTATGGAGCTTTCCTTAACTGCTAGCTGAGGAAAGCCCCATAGCTGCAAAAGGTGCATCTATGGTAAGCCCCATAGGTCCAAGGGGCAGGTGTGCAGATGGGTGGGTGTGACGATTATGCGAGAAACATTAAAAATCGCAGGACCAGTACTCCAAAAATGGGAGTGCAACATATATAGTGGCAACTATTATGCAGTGCTTCTTTAAATGGAGACTAAAATAGCATTTGTTTTCTTTCTTGCAAAAGGGGGAAAACTGAATATCATAACCCACTCACTCACCCACCCCTCAAGCCCACATAGCTACAGGTGCCTATCAATAGCACGAGCCCATTCCTCCCTTTCCCACCTTACTATTGAGATGCCTCTGCCAGATTATAAACCCCTTCCCAGTCCATGGACCTTGTCACCTCACTTTTATTCTTCCCAGTTCCCTCTTCTCAATCTCCTATCCTTCCAACAATAGATCTCATTGGGCTGAAAATTGGTTTAAAATCTGCCTGGCTCTCTACATTTGTTTTAGAGGTAATCCTTACAGTGGAGATCAGAGCTGTTACCATCATAAGCTTCCTGTAGGCTTCCCATAGGTTTCTGGTTGACTACAGCAGTGAACCAGAAGCTGGATTATCTAAGATTTCCCCAGATTCTGTGAGTTTATACTTACATATAAAGTTGTATCAAGGTGCATTAATTTCCATTCCTCTCGATTCCCCCCCCCCCCCATTTTTTTTCATATTGACTGTTTCCATATTTTTACTGTTTCCACTATCATGAGGACTCTAAGGGCATGGGTCTTCTTTATTACTTTGCCTGTAACAGATATGCAGATTTCAGGAACAACTGGTATTAATCTGATAATGTGTATTGGTCTAATCATGGCCATGATGACTTAATATGCACAAATAGTTGAAACCATGTTAATCCAACATGAACATCTTGCTTTGTATCACTGGCTGTATAAGAGGCTTCTGTTCACAAGTGTTTGCCTTTCTTCCAGGTTCCCGGCACTCTCCATCCTTATGGGCAGGTACAAATGGGGGTACAGTATATGCCTTCTGTCTGCGCGTTCCTCCAGCCGAGAGAAGAATGGATGAGCCAGTCAGAGCAGAGCAGGGTCAGTGAACAGTAAAAATAAATAGTTATTGTCATGTTCTTACACACTGTCCCTTATGTATGGCAGTGTTATCATAAGGTTTCCTTGGCAATATCTGTTCAGAGGGGGTTTGCTGTTGACTTCCTTTGAGGTTGAGAGAATGTGACTTGCCCATGGTCATCCAGAGGGCTTCCATCACTGATGGGAAAATTACATCCAAGCCAGTGTTGAAACCATTGATATCACACTAGTTTTTCTCCAAATGAACATTGAAGTAGGTGAATGGCAACTCCTATACTTACATTTGAAATGCCACAGTGGTAATTAAAGAATCCCAATCTCCAGCAAAGGGTCCATCCATCCATATTAACAGCAGATGGACTCCCTTGCTGTGTAGGTGTGGCCTATGTATTGAATGGTACCATGTGGCAAAAGCATTGCCCATATTATGCAAGATCCAAGCCAAAAGCCACTGGCTACAGTAATGTATCGGCACACAATTTTTTTCTTTTAGTATGGATTTAAATCCCTGATTTTGCTTGGACCGATACCTGACAGTGGAGGAAATAGGTAGGCCATACACATTTACTTGATAGTGATAAGCTTGTGAATCTGGGCACATACTTTGAATTCATTTTAACCCTTCTACTTTCTGGAATGGCCCTTCAGTTATCTTACCATTCATGATTAAACTAGTCAAGAATGTCTCACCGGTCACAAAAATCTGGAAAATTCCCCCAGGATAAAATAGGTTTGAAGAATTAATGGGGATCATATTGGCTGAGTAAAATGTGGTCCTTCAGATGCTGATTGGCTACAACATGCTACAGAGTTTTGAGCAAAAGGCAACAATTATGTTCTATCCAGAAATCCACTAGAGAAAGAGGTTGTGCCTTGAAAAGCAGCAAATTTAGTTAATATATCTCTGGAATCAGTCTCTCGCTTTGTTTCTGTGAGATTCATGCCTGACTCTTCCTCTCTCCCCAGCCAAAGAGATCCAGCTCATGCACCGAGCTCCTGTGGTCAGCATTGTCGTTCTGGATGGCCAGAGCATACCACTTCCAGAGCCTCTGGAAGTAGCGCATGATCTTTCCAAGAGCCCCAACATGCAAGGTAGCCATCAGCTTCTCGTGGTGTCTGAGGAGCAACTTAAGGTAACCATACTGACTATTTATGTACACTGTGTGTGTGCACACCTTCCCTTTGGAATACAGCACAGACTTTTGTGGAGGTCATTTTCCTTCTCAATGTTACCTTCCTGAACTTGCTTATATTTTGGATTGTAACTCCCCAAATTGCATGCTGACAAGGATTTTGCAAGTTGTAGTCTGAAGAAATAACTGTCCCAAACTCAAAAGCAGCTAGGAATGTTCTTCATGCACCCAGAGATTTCCTGCCACATTCTCTCTCTTCCCTACGTTCAAAGGTTTATATGTTTATATGTTTACATATTTATATGTTTACTTGGCTTTATGTTTGTCCATACATACATTCAAACTGTGGGAGGGTTGTCTAACATGCTTCCCTAGAAAGAGACAGTCAGGTTAAGAAGAAAATATCAGAATTCTGACTACAAACCAGTCCTTTGATTTTGTGTATGGCAGTGTAGGTTTTAGTAGGCAGCAGAGGTCTGAGATAGCTTATCCTGTCCATGAGCAAAAGCTTTATTTCTTGCAGGTTGTAGAATCATGTCATCTTGTATATCACAATCAAACACAGCAAAGGTTTAATGTATTGTCGAAGGCTTTCACAGCCGGAATCACTGGGGTGTTATGTGGTTTCCAAGCTGTATGGCCATGTTTGAGCAGCATTTTCTCCTGACTTTTTACCTGCATCTGTGACTGGCATCCTCTGAAGATGCCAGTCACAGATGTTGGCAAAATGTCAGGAGCAAATGCTGCTACAACAAGACCATACAGTCTGGAAACCACACAACACCACAGTAAATTGACTACTTGCTCACTGCTTTAGGAAATCCAGGATTGTTAATATTGCCAAAGACAGGACGAGGCTGTAACATTTAGTTGCAATCAGACTAAACATGCTCTCTATCAGTACAGATCATTCAGAATTGGGAGACTTCTGTATAAAGGAAGAGTAACATGTGGCTTGTTTGCACTGGCAGGTTTTCACATTGCCTAAGGTCAGCTCCAAACTGAAGCTCAAACTGACAGCCCTGGAAGGTTGCCGAGTGCGGAAGGTGTCAGTTGCCAACTTTGCCAGCTGTAAGACTGAATACAGTGAAAATGCTCTGGCTGTTCTAACAAACCTGGGAGACATCCAGATTATCTCCCTGCCTTCCCTCAAAATCCAAGTGCGCTACCCCTGCATCCGTAAAGAAGATGTGAGCGGCATTGCTTCCTGTGTGTTCACAAGATATGGGCAAGGTAACAAGATGGCCACCCTGAACTTGCCCAGCTCAACTTCATTACATTTTAGGAACTTTTTAATCTCTTGCCTAACAATTTGTACTTTCTATGTAGGTGGATGGGAGGGATTTCTTCTATGTAGAATACTTAGAAAGTGGATCAAAGAAAATATAGCCAGTCTTACATATTTGCTGGATCTAGGGGCACAGGACCCCCGTGAAAGTGAAAAAGCTGCAAATAAAGAAATTGTATTTTGAGAATAACTTTCTAGGAATGTCTAGGTTTTCCATCATGATTTTATATTCAGTTTTTGCTGAATCACATTGGAGGACTTCGAGATTTCTAGAGAAGTGTTTTCACTATCAGTCTCTAAGTCCTTCAAGATGGTTTGAGGAAGTTGACTATAGAATCACACTGGAGTCCCTAGAGATTTCCAGAGAGATCATTTTAAATCAATTTCATGGATAATCAAATCTTCAAAAGTCAAAATCCCAAATGTGGAGAGAGAACTAGATTTCTTTAAGGGCATTTACACAGAGTCTTCTACCCACCCAGGTAAGTCCAAGGCTTCAAAACAGTTATTTTGAAGAATGTGCCATTTGAGCAAAGTAGGCCTAAATTCAAAGCAAGCTTCCAATGTTGTGAAATTGATTTTTTAAAAAAAATTAAGATCTCTATATGATACCTAAAATTTGTTGGATGACCTAGACATACTTCTCTCGATGCACAAATCCAATCATGTTGTAATGTTTCCTCAAGGAGGCACTCTTGTGTTCCTTTAAAAAAGGTAGTCTTTAATTAAGATGTGTCAAAGGAGGAGGAGTCCTGAGGTCTAAGATCAACATCATGAGGAACAATTCAAGGAATGCCTAGCATTTATTGCAAAAGTTGATAAAATATTCCTCAATAATGTACAGTTCCTCCATATCTTTTTTGTGCTGGTACCTTTACAATTTGCATTTTCTTCAACTCTCTTTGCAGGCTTCTACCTCATCTCACCTTCAGAGTTTGAGAGATTTTCCCTTTCCCCAAAATGGTTGGTTGAACCACGATGTCTAATAAGTGCACCTGAAAGCACAGGCAACAGCCGTGTTCACAGCCCATCCGCCGTGGAAAATGCTTCAAGGAAATCCAAGTATGAATGCTTGCAGAGTTTTTATTGACCTTGCTGGTTAGCCATTTTTGTTATGTTTTGAAGGAATGCCATTACAAAAGAGCAATATGCCAATTTGTATTGCTCTTATCTCTTGTAGAATTTGCCACTCACTTACCCACAGGGATATTGCTGCCTCTTTCCACTGTATAACCACCCAGTCTAGCAATACCTCTGCTCCCCCAACACACACATACACCAATGTGTTGGCAGTGTTTGCCTATCTTCCCCCTTCCATTCATTATCCTTAGCGAAAAGGAGAAGCAAAACCTCAGAAACATTTGGTTTCATCTTGCTAAGATTTCTAGCAAAAGAACTGAGATGGACACGTAAAAAAAGAAAAGAAGTCTTCATATGTTCAAGAAAAGATGGGAACAGACAGTAGCAAGATCTTAGGCCAGGAGAACTTTGCAATTCCATCCAACCCCAGAAGTCATCTTCTAGCTCTCCTGGGATAAAGAAGATTTGCGTCTAGGCCTATATTGCCTCACATTAAAGTTTGGCCTCACCAAAATAGATAGATAGATAGATAGATAGATAGATAGATAGATAGATAGATCGATCGATCGATCGATCGATCGATCGATCGATAGAAGATAGATAGATAGATAGATAGATAGATAGATAGATAGATAGTTTCATTGCATGAGGGAAATTCGCAGGGCATGGATTTACTTTCCTCTCTACATGCAAGGATAATTTTGTTAACCATAACAATAATTCTTTTATTTGAGCTTTCCTCTAAAATTTGAAATGTTATAATTCAGATATACCCCAGTGTCAGGGGCACTTTGGTTGTACTTTTCCTGAATGGCAGGGGGTTGGACCATGTGGTCTCTTCCAACTCAACACTTTAGGTCCAGTCTATCTCCAAGACCGCTTCTCCTGTGAACCAGCACAGGCTTTGAGATCTGCCGGGGAGGCCCTTCTCTTGGTCCCACCTCCATCTCAAGTGGGGATGAGAGAGAGGGCCTTCTCAGTGGTGACCCCCCAGCTTTGAAATGCCCTCCTCAACGAGATTAGATTAGCCCCTACTCTCCAAGAGTTTCAAACCAATTTGAAGACTGCTCTTCAAACAGGCCTTTGACCTTATTTAGGAATCCTTACTGATTGTATTTGAGGACTAGTGTTATTTTACCTCACACTTTATGGACTAATATTGACTGCATAGAATCATAGAATCAAAGAGTTGGAAGAGACCTCATGGGCCATCCAGTCCAACCCCCTGCCAA